CTAGCTGCTCTTCCAGAGGACTTAAGTTCAATTCCCAACACCCACATAGGAACTCACAGCTGTCTGTAATTCTAGTTCCAGAGGATCCAATGCCCTCTTTTGACCTTTGCAGGTACCAGGCACTCATGTGGTCATATACATAAAATAAAAATCTTTTTTTTTTTACTTGGCAAGTGGGGATAAAGAGATGACTAAGAATGGCTAAGATGGCTGAGAATGTGTACTACTCTTGCTGAGTACCTGAGTTCAATTCCCAGAATCTACACAGCAGCTCACAACCACTTGTGACTCCAGCTCCAGGAGGCTCAGACACCACTGGCCTCCACAGACACCTGCACTCATATGCATACACTCAACACACATGATTTTTAAAAATAAAAGTAAATTAAAAATTTTTTGATTGGCAACAATGAAAGGTTTCTGGGCATGCAGCCCCCTTCAAAACAGATGCTAGATGAATCCTACATGCCCTTGAACTGCATGCTGTTGTTTCACTACAGCCTTGGTTCTGAACACAGTGTGTGCAGCTTGCACTGTGCATGCCCTCAAGCCACATAGCACCAATGAACACATCCTAAAACACCTAGGCTTGGATTAGAAACTACTGCACATTATGGTCTGCAATGCCTTTACAGTGTGCCCAGTTTTCTGCTCCTATAGAAACATAATAGTTTCATTATGGGAAACAAAGACCTTGAGTGTTTTCCTACCATCGTTCCTCAGCATGTAAACATTAAATCAGTAAATCATATTATATAAGAATGTTTGGGATTTTTAGAACATTTGATTTTTTTAAATTACTATTTGAGTTGCTGGCTTGAGTTTCATTTAAAAAATCATTAAATGAATTTGAGCTTGGGATAAAGGCAGAATTTCCAACAACTGCGGAAACAACCCTAAACATACGTTTGCCATTTTGTACTGTGTGTTTATGCAAAGCAGTGTTCTCATCACTGACCATCATAAAATCAAAATATCAATCAACTCTGAAAAAAATGAAGATATTCAATGGCCTGCAGTATTAAAGATTCCACCAAGACTTAATCTTTACATAAAAATAAAGAAATATATCTCATTACTACATAAATTTACTTTCATTTTTAATAAATGGTAAAACTATATATGTGTGTGTGTATATCTATCTCTATATATATAGATATATGGGGTTGGGGTCCACAAGTGGGTGTAGGTGCAGGTATACATGCAAAGGACAGTGGACAGCCATGTATAGCTTTTCACATGGTTTCTGGGAATCTGAACTCAGGTCCTCCTGCTTGTGAGGCAAGCACTTTACAAGTAGAGCCATCTTCATGGCCCCCTGTTTTATATACCTATATGTCTAAAACTTCATTAAAAACAAACAAAAAAAACCTCTTATGTGAGAAGGAATCATGAGTGTAAAGTACTTAAGTCCTGCTCTGGAGGAAAGGCTGCTTGGCTCCAGGAATGTTGGCTTATTCATGATTAAGACTTCAGCATCTTGTGCACCGTAGCGCCGTGGGGATTTGCTCATTTTTGTGGAAGGAAAAACAAGAAAGAAGTTGAAAAGTCTACTCTCATCATTTCATTTCTATCAAAGCCACAGAAAAAAATATGGTATTCCTCCTCCTCTTCCTCCTCCTCCTCCTCCTCATCCTCTTCCTATTCTTTCTCCCTTTTCCTTTCCTCTTTATCCTTTTCTTCTTCTTCTTCTTCTTCTTCTTCTTCTTCTTCTTCTTCTTCTTCTTCTTCTTCTTCTTCTTCTCCTTCTTCATCTCCTTTTTTGAGACAGAGTCTCAAATAAGCCTATTTGATTCCTTCTCAGCTGCTTGCCATACACGCTTTGGCAAGTTACCTACCCTCCCTGAGCCTCTGTTTTCTCTTTTATCAAGGGGGATAATAAACACTGCCAACTATCTACTGGGCATGGTGGCACAGGCCTTTAATCACAGCACTTGTGAGACAGAGGCAGGTGGATGTCTGTGAGTTTGAGGCCTGGTCAGTGTAGTAAGTTCCAGGCCATCCAGAGCTACAATGAGACCCTGTCTCAAAAGACCAAAAAACAAAACAAACAAAAGAAAACAAGCTAGCAATTCTATATTACTACTTTGAAATTTAAATGAGAATATGTGTACAACTGAATAAATATACATAATGTTCAATAAGCAATGATGATTATCATAAGGACAAGACGTCTGGTGTTAAGCTATGACTTTAATATCAGGTGCCTGTCAAGTAAGGAAAAAACAAATTTCACTTTGAGAAAGAGATGGTGGAGAAGTCATACTTTTTGTCTAATCTATTTTGTTCATCTCTTATAATTAAGCTATGATAGTATTCCTTTATCTACAAAATGGATAAATTCTTGATTATGTTGACTTGCTGAAAAACGTATCATTCAAGATGGAATGAATTTCTCCCTAATATCATTCTCAAGCAAGATTAGATTCTAATGTGGATTTAATTAATTCTATATTGAGTGTCTTGATTGAATACTCATGATTGAACAAAATATGAGTCAAAGTTGTTGCCCTTTACAAATTTCACTGAGAAACACCTGTCAGTATATAAAAGGGCCTCCTGTAATACCAACAACAACAATAATAATAACGAGCTGGAGCTGGAACTATGTTAGTAGAAAGCTTACTTTGTCTAACATACACACTGGGTTTGGTCCACAGTACCACATAAAACCAAGCTTATTGTGCACACATCTGTAATCCCAACACTCAGGAAGCAATCAGAAGAACCAGCTCAAGGTTATCCTTGGCTAGCACCTTAGAGGCTATCCTGGGATACATTAAACTCTGTCTCAAAAAAGAAGAAGGTGATGATGGAGAAAGAGGAGGAAAGGAAAAAGGATAAAAGGAAGGAGAGAAGAGGAGGAAGTGGAGGAGGAGACTTACAACAGCAGGGTATTAGGTACCCAAGTCAATCTCTCTACCCTCACAGAAGAGGAATACCTGTATGTTGATGACTTGTCTTTACAAGAAGAAAGTATTTGCTAATGATCAACATACTCTGGTCCACTCTCTAGAGCAACAGTTATCAGTCTGTGGGTCATGGCCCCTTTGAGGGTCAAACAACCCTTTCACAGGATTCACCTAAGACCATTAGAAAACACAAATATTATCATTACAATTCATAACAGTAGCAAAATTATAGCTATGAAGTAGCAACACACATAATTTTATGGTGAGGGTCACCACAGCATGAGGAACTGTATTAAAGGGTCACAGCATTAGGAAGGATGAGAACCACTGCTCTCGAGCATCTTTCCCTGAGTCTCTCATCAGCATGTAACCCAGCTGGGAATGGAAGAGCTCTTCACCCTCTGAATTCCAGACCAGAGTGCTTGTTGGAGGGCTATTGCCTCACATCCTTTCCTCCAAGAGCTCTCACCTTTCCCCCACTCACCCTCTGCACTGTCTTCATAGTCCTCATCACTTTATGAATCTGCCCTGTACCTTCCTAGACTTTTTAGTACCAAGTGGCTTCTGAGAACACACAGACCATTCTGTTCACTGCACACCACTGCATGCCCTGGCCAGTCCATGATGGCAGCAGCACTCAGTAAATATGTGCATGAAACTGTGGAAGGAAGGAGAGCTGGTGACGGCTGGGATTTCCCTCCTACAGAGCTGTGACCCAGACCCGTGCACACTGCATCGAAGTCTGTTTGCATGACTCTGTTTCCCAAGTTTACTCAGCCCTCACTCCGAGAACCGCTCCTCCTCCCCAAGAGCCAAGTTTGATTAACCGTGAGTTCCTCTCACTTTCCATCCTGTCAGGCCCTGTTCTTGGTGCTTGACCCTCAGGGAAGCATCCTCCTTTTACCATGACTTCTGCAGGTGGCTAATATCATCCATCACATTACCCATTCAAGTCTCAGAGGGTAGGCTCCTCTTTCACATGACTTGTAAGGCTGTCTCACTGCAATCTTACATCACTGACTTTGCGGGACAAAGTCAAGTAAGGGTATTGATGCTACACTTAATGGATCCATCTGGAAGGTATGTGCTGTTAGCCTCTGCTGTGTGGATGCTGAAAGCACCTATCAATAATCTCCCTTGACTCACCCTTCACCATGCAAAAAAAAAAAGGTAAAGGCTGGGCTATAAGAAGCAAACTGGAGGGCGCATTGGGCCCCTGAACTTTCTTCTTCATCCCCACTAGGATCCACAGAGCCCAGATTTAGCAAACTGCGATCTGCTCTCTCCTCAAATGCCTCCTTAAATATATTCCAAAATGCCAGTCCTTACATTTCTCTGCAAAGAAGCAGACAGACAGAGACAGAGACAGAGACAGAGACAGAGACAGAGAGAGAGAGAGAGAGAGAGAGAGAGAGAGAGAGAGAGAGAGAGAGAGAGATGGGGTTTTGTTGTTTTATTTGACACAGCAATAATAGAAACAAGACCATGTTTCTATTTTATGAAACCTTGGAGGGTAATTCATTGAGATCCTGACATTTCATATCATCTAATCACCTCTGTAGCAAGATATTTGCTTTGGCTCCATCAGCCCCACACACAGACATGGCTGCTAACGCTTACTGGGGCCCACTGTTAGGTGGCCTGCTTTCAACACCCAAGGCGGGATTTGGCAAGAAGAAGCGGCACCTGCTTTATTGAAAGACATCTTCATATTTAATCTCCTGAAAGAGAAATGAGAGTGCAAATGTCCTTAAGAGATGATTATCATACATCAAGACGTCCACCCCAAAAGCCATCACACCAGATGCCGCATCACACACAAGTCACCCAGAAGGAAGGTAGCAGATGGAGCTTTGGAAAACAAATTTGTGAACTAAGTGTCTGCCTGCTCCCAGTCAGTGCCTACACAGGTAATTTGAGTCACACCTACCTGCCCAAAAGGCGAGATTCATGCTTTAGAGAGGGCTGGGGAAGGAGCTGACCTACAAGTCTCTTGCTGCCCAGGGTCTGTAAATCCACATAAGATGCACTGCCTCAGACCAGAGATTTTTATGCACTGATTTAAAGGAACAAAGTGAGCACACAATGTTGCTTGACACATTAATATTGGTTCCCTGGCATCAGGGGAGACATTAACGTAGGGAACTTTTCCTCTCTACTTTTCAAAAATTGGAACAATCATTCCAGCAGTGGGAGCAGGAAAGTACAAAATCCATAATGTTTAGCAGCTTGGGTACAAAGACAATGATATCAAAAATCCAGGGTGTTTCACTACTACAGACAAGTCTATATTTGGATAATATCAGTCTTCTAAATTCCCACCGAGTTTAACTCCTGCCTGTCTGATTGAGTTATTTCCAGTCTAAAATCCTTGTGTGGCTGCTCTTCCTAGAGCCATGTATGTCCGTTGCTCCATGAAGCTCCAGCTAAAGCTTCCACAGGGACCAGTGGTGAAGAGGGTGTGCAGCTCTGGGGCAGACTCCCTCCATCCAATCAGTTCTCCTTTCCTGTGTTCTCAAGCTGGACTTCCAAGAAAGATTCCAATTTCACCAAGGAGGTCTTAGACTGAGAAACAGTTTGGGAAGGACTTGTCTTAGTTTGTTTTATGTTGCTTTTGCAGAACATCGTAGACTGGAGAGTTAAGAAAAGAAATCCATTTCTCATAGTCTCAGAGGCCAGGAAATCCAATATCATACAGGTTTGGCATCATACAGATTCCAAGTTCACAAGGATCCTTTTGCATACTCTAAGGAGAGTGAATGATGGCAAGAGTGTTCAGTGAATATATTGAATGAAACTATGATGGAAGGAGGGTGGTGGTGTGTAGTGGCTCAGATTCCTTTGTGATATGCAATGCTGTTCCTGGGGAGACAAGAACAAACATCTACTTACCCAGTTAAGAACCAACAACAGACCAAAGTAACGATCTACTAAAGCCCAACGTGGTGAACCAATTGGTTTATTGGAACTACTTACTGGAGTATGGGTAAAGAGTTACTTACAGGAACATGAAGAATTCAAAGGCTTACCCCAGCACACGTGATGATTCACAAAGCTGAACCCTGAAACTCTCTGCATGATTGGCAGGTATCTCAAGTTAGAGTGCTTCCTCTCTTCAGCAGTCTTTACTGCTAGAGAAGGATAGGCTTTGTAAATCTGGTAAATTTCAGGGACTTCCTGAGACTCCTGAGTTGTTTACCTCTGAATCTCAATGAGATTCCTTTAAAATTTCCAGAGTCTTAAGCGTCTTTCCAGAATGGAACATTCAACTATAGGGTAAATTGCTATAAATAACTTGTTTTAAAACTGTGCCTGGTTGACTGGTTGACCTTATCACACTGCACTTGTGATGCTAACATCTGGAGAGGTCCTTTATGCTACATCATCTTAACAAAAGTAAGAAGGGGGGATAAGAGAGGCCAGGAGAGAGCAAGTGAGTGTCAAACAAACCCACTATTATGAACATGACATCAGTCCTTTCATGATGGAGCCCTCATGACTTCTTTATCTCCTAATGGTACCACCTGGCATTGGGGACTAAGTTTTCAATACACAAACTTTGGGGAATGAGTGCAGACTGTGGCAACTAGTTACAGGATGACATGCAGGAAAGCTCCTCCATATTCTTTATCCCAACTACCTCTCAGCCGTTCTCCTGGCATACTCATATAGCTGAGTCCTGCTTAAGCCTTGTTTCCCATGCTGTTTCAAGCCTGCTTTCTGTTCCCATTGCCTAAGACATCTTTCCTCCCCTTGTCTCTGCCAGGTAGATCTGTATTCTTGATTTAAGATTCAATTCACAGCTTGCCTTTGGCAAGTGACTCTTCCTGCCTTTGCAGTGATTAGTCACATTCCCGTGGCTTTTGTGAATGTGCTGACACACGTGGTATGACTGACTACACATACCTGAATCTTGGACCAGTGTGCAGACTCCTGGGAGTTAGAGTGCATTCTCTGCCTTGTTTCTTTCCTCTTCCCTCCTCCTGCAGGGGCTGGCATGCAGTGGGCACTCAAGTATTTGATGGATGCATGTGTATCTGTTTAATTCACCACCAGATAGCAACTTGGCATTTTCCCTGACAGCTGTAGTCAAGAGGAATTCAAAGACTGAGCCACAGTCTCAAAACCAATGCAAGAATCTCAGTGTTAATAAAACATGACATCATGATTCCTGTTTGGAACTAAACTTTGTGGGTTTTTTTTTCAAAATTCACCATTATAAAATACTAAATATAGATAGAGATCACATGCTGATTTGACCTGACTAATTTGATTGGGTGGCTTCCCCAATTCAAATCCTTATGAGGTTCTCTGTTACCCATGGCTTTCCAACCACTCCATGGGTCTTTAGGGCTTCCCAGGGCATCTCTAAGGTTGAGGTCAACATGTCAATCTGACTGGAGGAGACTCCGAGCCTATCACTATAATCAGAGATTTACCTTTGTTTGCTATTTGACTGCCTTTGAGTCCAGCAGTTTGCCAGGGTCTGCTGTCTGATTTCTGATGCGATCTGAGCTTGTAACTCACAGTTCACCCCAGCCTCAACCCTCTAAGCCAGTGGTTCTCAACCTATGGGTCATGACCTCTTTGGCAAACTTCTGTCTCCAAAGATGTTTACATTATGATTCATAACTATACCAAAATTACAATAATGAAGTAGCAACAAATATTATTTTATGGCTGAGGGGCACCACAACATGAACTGTATTAAAGGTCGCAGCATTAGGAAGGTTGAGAACCACTGCTCTGAGCCTTTTTCCACTTCCATGTCCTTTTCCAGGTCTGGAGCAGGCCTGCACATTTTTACACAGTTCTGAGTATGTCCATAACGTTTCATATTCCAATTTCTTCTCCTAACACTATGTTACAAACATTTTTCCAGAATGTGAGACACAGTCTTACATGGGGACTTTTTTTAAATGTCAAAATTTTAAGTTGGTGGGCTCCAATCTGTCTGGTCTTCAGTATCACTAGGCTAAATTTTACTTTTGTGCTTTTGAAAATAGCGCTGTGTAAGGAAGGCAGCGTGGGGCATGCCTGTAATAACAGCACTGAGAACGTGAAGGCGGAAGGATCCAGAGTTCTGCTAAACAGGTGTAAGATCAGCCTGAGGGGCCTAAAACACTGTCTCAGAATAAAAAGTAAGGAACAAAATGATAAAGAAAGTAATGCTACATGGAATACTCATTTCCTGGTTTGCTTTCTGAAGTATTTTTTAAATATTTCATTATTTTATTTTTGTATGTATGTGTGTTTCCCTGCATGTATGTCAACATACCAAGTACATACCTGCAGAGGCCAAAAGGGGTTGTTGGATTCCCTGGAACTGGAGTTACAGATGGTTTTGATCTGCCATGTGGGTGCTAGGACTAAAACCTTGATCCTCTGGAAGAGCAGCCAGTGCTCTTAACCACTGAGCCATCTCTCCAGCCCATAGTTTACTTTCTGTGGCTGTGATAAAAACACTGATCAAAAGCAGCAAGGGGAGGGAGGTGATTTCAGCTTTCAGTGTAAGTGAATCACTGAGGGAAATAAGACAGGAAGTTGGCCATGAAAGAATGCAACTTACTAGGTTGCTCCCCATGGCTTGCTTAGCCTGCCTTCTTATACAGCCTAGGACCAGCTGCCCAGGGATGACGCCGCCCACAGTAGGCTGGGCCCTCTCACATCAATCATTAATCAAGAAAATGCCCCAGACTTGTATGTAGGCCAATATGATAGAAGTAATTCTTCAACTGAGGTTCCCTCTTCCCAGATATCTCTGCTTGTATCAAGTTGAGAAAAAAAAACTAACCACTACAGTCTTCGGATATATGACTTTTTCCTACTGATAAGCATATTCCCGACTTAACAAGTCCTTTATATGTATTGATTATACCATCTAAATGCAAATATTTACTATGCCTCTTTTAATCTCTTTTATTTATATGATTAAAGTATGTTAAATGCCACCCAATTGAATCTTATCTATCTCTTCCATTGTTAAGGAAATTCTATCACTGTAATAAACGGGCAAAAATTTTTTACAAGGGAACCAACAGGAGGTTCAGATGAGACAGGGCAATGAGGAGATTACTATGATCAAAGCACATTATATACATGTATGAAAATGTCATAATAGGGCCAGGGAGATGGTTCAAAGGGAAAGGTACTCACCAAGTGCATCTGGTGACCCAAATTCAATCCTTGGAATCCACACAAAGAACCATATCCAACTGTACACGTCTGTCATCCAAGCACTCCTGGGTGAACTGGGAGACACAGACAGGAAACCTTCCAGAACTTGTGAGCCAACTAGCATGGAGTACCCAATGCAGCAGCAAAAACCAAGCAAGACCCTGCCTCAACCTGGCCAGAGTTGAGAAAGCTGTCCTCTGACTTCTGTTGACATGCTATAGCATGCACATACCCACACTTGCATATGCAGTAAGTACGTACATACATACATACATACATACATACATACATACATACATACATACAATTTTCAATGCCATAATGAAATCCACTACTTTATTATAATTGATATAAGTTCTTCATGGTTCATTACACATACATAAAATAGCTAAGATTTTACACAATTTGGATTCTCCTTTCCTTCAGTTGTTCTGTGAATTTTTAAAATGTGCGTCTAACTCTTTAATTCATCTGGGCATGCTTGGTACAGTTTTAGGCAAGAAACAATTTTTAAATTGACGGCATCCTCATTTTGCCCATCATTTTCCACACTTCATCATCTATCAAATTGTCATATGAAAATAGGGTTATCTGAGTGTTCTGATTGCCCTGTATTGCTCTATATTTCTGGTTCTGCACCAATGCCTTCTTGCTATTTGAATTATCTATGCTTTGTAATACACAGCATTTACAGTCTGAGCATTCCCCTCCCAGAGAATTATCTCAAATAATGTTTGATCCTCTTTTTTTTTTTGAGAATTTAATCTATGAGTACTGTGTTGATATCAGTTCCACCATTTCCTCTCCCACTCACAACTCCTGCAGTGCCCACCTTCCCCACGCCCTCTCAAATTCATGATCTCTTGTTCTTTAATTATCACTATATTATACATATACATATATATGCACATACTCTACTATAAATACAACCTGCTGAGTTCATTTAACATTGCTTCCATGTATTTGTGTTTAGGGTTGACCACTTGAGATTGGATAATCTATCAGGGGTTTGCCCCGAGAGAAGACTGATTCTCCCTCTCTTGGGAGCCAATAATTATTGGTGAAATTATTAAGGCAACTCCACGTAGTTAAAAGGGAGGTTTATATTGTGGAGTAACTTATAAGTGAAGGGATAGTTTACAGGGTCTGGGAAAGGTGTGGCGCAGTCCAGCAGTGTTCTCTGGAGAACTCTGCTCAGTCTACCTCTAGCGTCCAGGGTCCAGGAACCAAGAGAGCCGGCGCATCCGGATCTCGGGTCTTCAGGGTCCTCTCTTGGCCCTGCCTTGTAGGCATGACAGTTGCCGAAGCCTCAATGGGGGTTGGAACTTCCAGATCAAAGCTGGAATGGCTACCCACTACAAATAATTGTCTGTAGTCTTCGTCTAGGGATGGAGTCTGGTGAGATTTCTTCCATCCCCACTGGCACAGCAACTGGTGCTGTCACTGTGCTGGTCTTATTCCGATGGCCATGGTGTTAGGATTTCATGTGTCATATATAGAAGATACTGCCTCACAAGAGACATCCTTGTCCTATGGCTCTTAGAATCCTTCCACCCCCTCTTCCACAGTGTTACCTGAGCCTTAGGTATAGGGGTTGTATTGTAGATGTATATCAACTGGGGATGTGCCCCCCCCCACAGTTAGTTGGTCTCTGAATCTTGACCAGTTGTGGATTGATGTGATGGTATCTGTCTGCTGCAAAAAGAAGCTTCTTTGATGATGGATGGGGACTACATTTATCTGTGGATGTGTGGTAAGTATTTAGAGCACAGTGAAGAATTATATTGGTTTGGGAAAGTGGCAGCAATAGGTTCTCTTCTAGCATACATGACCTCACCAGCCATGGGTAGTTGATTAGGCTTACAATACCAAGCATGATACCAATTCCCTCCTGCTGAGTGGGCCTTAAGCCCAATTAGAAGGCTGTTGGTTACCCCCGAGATATAAGTACCACTATGCACCCTTAAGTATATCTTGCCATGGTGGTAATTGCTGTAGTTTGTGGCTTCACGGCTAGGTGGGCCTATAGATTACTTTTTTTTCCTTGGTAGCTTGCACAGCCCTTTCTGGCACTATGAGAGCTAGTCCAGAGGGAGGGTTCCTGGTCAATTCTGCATTGATTCCTCCAAGTCCTGTGTCCAGAGTGGAAGGAGTCTTCAGCAATAGGGTCTTACCTTCAAGTTCTGGAAAGCATTCAAGGACAATGGTGATGGCATTTCTTGTTAGTGGAATCTTTAGGACTCTGCTGACCAACAATTCAAAGAGAGGTTTCCCATGCCAGGCATTGGAGTTTTTGTTAGATAGTCTGTGGCTCTTGGGGTGAGGGTGCAACATTCCAAGTTGCATAACTTCATTTAAGTTATTTATATGTATTTACATGCATACTTATATGTGTTATGTACAAATTCAAGAGTAAATCTAATATAATTCTTCCCTATGGCTTTTTAAGTCACCCTTAGTGTTCTTTATCCCTCATCTCTACCTCTCTTTTCATATTGCCCTCCCTCTCCCACTCCCAGTAAAACCCCTCTCTCATTTTTCCCACTCCTCATTTATAGTACCTTTGTTCTACCATTCCCCTGCATTTGTAATCACAGGAAATTCCCCACCCAGGGAAGTTTATCCCGAATATTTTTTTATACTCTTGACATTTTGCTTGCATTACCAACATTAGAATGGTCTTGTTGAGTTCTTTAAAAAGTGACTTTGACTTAAAATATTTTATCTTTATAATTCTTAAGTCAATCCATGCCTTCTTAGAACTTTATTTTCTTGCATTGCTATGTATTTACTTTGTTATCTGACTTAGCTTTTCTGCTGCTAAACAACTTAGGGAGGAAAGGGTTTATTGGCTACAGCTCACAGTCCTTTGTGGAGGGAAGCCAGGCAGGAGCTCAAGGCAGGAATCTGGAGGCAGGAACTGGAACAGAGGCCATAGAGGAATGCTGCTTACTGGCTGGCTTACTCTGGCTTACTGGCGGGCTTACTCTGGCTTACTGGCGGGCTTACTCTGGCTTACTCAGGCTTACTCAGCTGTCTTTCTCATACAGTCCAGGCTCACCTGTCCAGGGATGCTACCACCTGCAGTAGGTTGTAGTATATCAACTAGCAATTAAGAAAATGTCTCATACACTTGACCATGGGCCAGTCTGATCTGAATGATTCTTCAGCTGAAGTTCCCTCTTCCTGGGTGACTCTAGGTTTATGTCAACTTCACAGTGGAATAATAATGTATGATAATATATTGCATATACCAATGATGTTAATTTTTTAGTCTTCCTTTCTGATAATTATTGTCCTTTATGGTTTTTGCAATACAAAGTTGTAAAAATATTGATATTCTTGGTTCTGCCTACTCTTTAAAAGTAAATTTTGTTTGTTTGTTGTTTGTTTGTTTTTTGAGATGGGGTTTCTCTGTGTAGTTTTGGTGCCTGTCCTGGATTTCGCTCTGTAGACCAGGTTGGCCTTGAACTCACAGAGATCTGCCTGGCTCTGCCTCCTGAGTGCTGGGATTAAAGGCGTGCGCCACCACCACCCGGTTAAAAGTAAAATTTTTAATTCTATTGCTAGTACATGATTTAAAATAGGTATATCCAAGCTAAGCTATGTATAAATGGATTATTTAACCTGATGTTAGTGTTAAGATGTTTATCTTTTATTGGTTATTTTGCACTCTAGAAATAATCTCTATTAAGGTCAAATTTGTCATGTAGAATGAATCAAATGGAATCCAGCTCTGTGTTTTGACACGATAGCAGGGCTTGGCAGGTTTCCATTCTATGGGAGTTTAAAGGACTTCATTAGTCCTATGAGCCTTTCTGTTTCTAAAAAAATAATTTTTTCAGCAGTTACTGGCTAAATAGAATGCCTTACTTCCATTGTTTCAGTCAACATATCTAACATTTTACTGTGGAGTAGTAGCCATGTTACTGAGCATTTTAGTCAACTAAAGAAGGTATATATAGTATTCCATGAAGGCAGTTTAATACCTTCCCATAATTTCATATATAGAATCAGACATAAATTTTCATACAGGTTCCATCACTAATTTATCTATGTGACTTTGACCATGTGATGTGACATCTGACACCCCCACGCACACAGGAGGTAGATTATATAACATAAGATTATTATAAGGATTTCAGTAGTGAGTGTAAAGTTGTTAACACATTGTCTACCTTCAGTGAACAGAAGGCAGTACAGCGTTCTCCAGTGTTGTCTTTCTCTATTATTATATTATTATATTCTATTATCTTTCATTTGTCTTTCTCTATTATTCTCTATATATTTGCATGAAATGCCTATTTTCACAGTCTTTTGAATATTTTCAGAAGCAATGGATAAACATTGAGGAGATGGCAATGACTTTTGAGGAAAGAGCTCCCATTCTGGAAGGCCAGAGTGTGAGCTTGATTTGTGAGTCATCACAAGATAGCTCTGAGCTTTGGGAAATGACAGAATTGGCCGGGGACCTACTACATTCTCCTTGCCAAGCAGGATGTGAAGCCATAAGCCTGTATTTATGATCGGTGAACAGCGTCCAGAGCTCAGGAGGGCCGCTTTCAGGGCTCCTGGGAATGGGAAGTTGACCAACTCGCCCCCAGTTGTCAGACTGCATCATCCAAGTCTACATAGCCTGAAAACAGGAATGCTGACAATCACCATGACCCAGGCTGAACCAAGCTTTAAAGCAGACAAAACCAGCCTTGTTCATCCTTTTGAAATGGGGCCTAATTATGTTTTATTAATAAATGAAACTCTGTGGCCAAATAGAGAAAACACTGTAGGAACATATATGTAGAAACACACATGGAGAACTTACCCTGTTGGAGGAGGGGATGGGAGGGTAAGGTGTGGGGGGAGCAGGAAGAGGGATGAGAGGGGAATCTGTGGTTGGTATGTAAAATGACTAAAAATAATAATAATAAAACAAAACAAAAACAGAAACACACATAAATACACACACACACACACACACACACACACACACACACACACACACACACAGAAATACTGTGTGTAGACAAAAGCTCCTGAGGTTTTCAGAAGATCTGAAAGCCTAAGCTAAATTAGAGAGGATCACTCAGCATCTCACCTCTTCTCTTGTCTCTTGCCGTTTCTCCCTAAACATGTTAAACTCTTCTACATAAGGTTTAATTTTTGCTCCTTGGTGATATATTTCTGGGTAGAGTACATTATTTGGAGAAAAAAATGCACCAC